TTCTGTTCCTCCGTGAGTTGATGTGGAACCCACTGCGCGCAGATTCTGCGGTACAGCAGGTGTTCTGTCGCTGGGACATGTACGGAAACGTGATTTATTCCCATCAAAAGACTAATTTCGTCCACAGTGATCTGTCTGTTTGCCCGGATATGACCATCCAACGCAGCAATAACATCAGGTATGATGACACTATGAGCCTGTCCTGGGCGAGCATCATCTTGTAGTGACACACGTCCCTCTCGGAATCTCTTATGCCACGCCAGCACATGCGAACGTGAAATGTTGTGTTCGCCGTAAACAACAGACATGCGACGGTGAATTTCTCGTCNCGCCGTAAACAACAGACATGCGACGGTGAATTTGTCGTCCTCCAAGTCCTTCAGCAGTCAAAAAGCTCACTACACTTCGCTGTTCTTCTTTACCCGCCTCCATTACTGATGTTCGACGACCACAAGTAGCGCTAACCTTACTTCCAGCACAATAAACAAACGACTAGTGTGCAAGGGCACGTTCTCACTGTGCTTTCCCGAGTCCCAATCAGATGTTCGTACCGTAAGCAAATTCCAGTGTTACCAACTTGCGCGCCGTGTAAGTTATGCGTGTTGATCCGTTTTCATTTGACTGCCCCTTATACTTCCAGTCAAGTGGCTGAACTTTCAAGTTTTGTTTCATCTGTGTGCTGACACATTTATGTCCTAAGGACCTGTAGAGGGGAGGGGGTTCCTTCCTTCCTCTCAGTATTTCAGTATAGGATGTAATGCGTGAAAACCACTTCCAACAAGGAATTTAATATTTACATCAAATGAATTCAGGAGGCCATGACTGCAACGCATGGCTAACTTCGTAACATGCGAAGGGAAAATGTATGGCTTTTGGGAATGCAGCTTGAAATATCTTGAATATCTGAGGCAGAATATGGTCATCTACGCAACATTTACTAGGGCAAGGGAAATAAGACGCATGCGCAAATCAACAAAACAAAATACAGGTGAGTGTAAGGGATAGGAATAATAGCATCTCTCGTTCTTTGATGACAATCTCACCTTCATGTAAGACTTTCTGTACTTAGAAACGAGGCTCTGGGGAGCGAGTCATGGAGATATAATAATTATATTTGGTTTCGAGGAAATGTAACTACAAAGTACAACTTCCGACTTGCGAGCCATGCCACATTTACTCCGAAAAAAAACCTAACTTACATTCGCGAGCCACAATTATGACAGCTTTGGACCACTCACTTGATCCAGATGCAGTCCCATGCTCTTTAGCTTTTGTCCAAACAAATCCTCCGTCCCCACAAAGAACAAAACATGTAATAGGAAGGAAATACATATTTGTAGTATGAATTTTTAAATTGTATTGTGCTCGATTTGTAGAGCCGGGATAGCGTAGTCGGTATAGCTACCGGCTACGGGCTTGATGGAGGAGGGATAGGAGTTCGAGTCCCAGTAGAGTCAGGAATTCTCTCTTCCCCATGTCGTTCAGACCGGCTATGGGGTCAACCCAGCCTCCTATCCAACAGGTGTTGGGGGAAGCGGCAGGGGTATGAAGCTGACCACTCACATCCGACTAGTGCTGAGGTCAAGAAAATGTGGCTCTATACATCCACTCACCCTTACGTCTTCATAGTGAAGTACTTAATTAGTTAATCACAGGGACGAAATTATCTTTGTATGTTTGAATTATTTTTGTATTGAATTTTTGTTCTCATTTATTAATAAATGTCTCTGAAGGCATGCAATTAAAGCTGGCACTAACTTCGCCGACAAGCGGCGGTCGCTCGATCGGTAGTGTTCGCATGAGGACTACAGGCGACGGAGTCTTTTTTTAGGAATGCATGCAATTAATGTTCTACTTAGCTTTCAACCATTTTATCAGTCAGTTTTAGCCATTTGAGGGCAAGGAATGGGATTCCAGAGATGTAACTTCATGGAATATTGTTTAATTAAATTAGACACAGGGAAAATTTTGACTTTTATACTTCATCTACTGTGGGACAGAGATCACGCGGTAGCGTAGTTGGTTGGTGCACTATACTACAAGCCGGAAGGTGGCGGTTTCGACTCCCAATGAGGTCACTGGATTATTTTTCTAATTACGTAATCCTTCCAGCCACAGTATGGCCCTGGGATCTACTCAGCCTCTAACACAAATGAGTACCAGGAATCTTCCTGTGGGGTAAGGGCGGCTGGCTCCTAAGGCTGACAACCTCACCGCCATCTATGATCCGATTATATAGAAAATGTCTTGACGTCTCACAACCTTACGATCCTTGACGCGATTTTACAGGGACAGGTTTACCTGCCGATGGGAAATTCAAACTTTCCTTGCATACACAAATACCACGTACCCTTATTGTTAGAGCAGTAACATCCGGCTTATTGGGGGACAGTGAACAGAACTACAAACCTGAGTCAAAATATCTTCTGCAATGTCCGAGGATCGAACACAGTCTGTTTCGTTGTGAAACAGACTGTACTCGGGTCTGAGTTATTGCCAACGTCGGCCTGCATCTGCTTGCAGTCCCTCCGGCCGCCATTAGAATGCAGCCCTTGTTCTGCAGGCCCGAAAATGTACTGTTCTCAATCAAATATGTATTGCTCGGAGGTCGCCTAACCGAACCGGAGTGCAAACAGTTTGAAGGAACTCTGCTTCCCTTTTCTGCAGGTACAATGTTGCCAAACAGCCCGACAGTGTAGGCCTGTACACGTGTGTCACCAGGCGTTTTCGTAATATGCTTTCTTCCTGCGTTATTTAAAGAAACTCTGGCAACGTCACGGGCTATATCAAGTGTAGGGCGGGTGGGAGTTACGCTGGAGGAGGTGACTGAAGACTAATCTAGGACATCAACCGAAGAAGTGAGGAATGTTAAGGAAAATTCTAATTCAGAATAATTAACTTCCGAAATAGAGTTATCCCAAGAACAAAGTGACAACATTGCGATTTTTGTATATATATCACAGACCTTGATATTCAAACACTGGAGATACAAATGCATTGTTCTAAATCTAACCACATTACAGACACGCAGTGCATTGATTCGTACATGTATATGTGTGTATTGTAATATGAACTCCTAAAGCCGGAATATTAAAGTAGGAATAGACATTCATTGCTAAGCAACGACTCGGTAAGGACATTCCAGTGGCAACGAATACACAAACGACAATTTAAAAACTTCCGTTGCTATGCAAAGGTGCTGTAAATACACCTTACGAATAGAGAGGTTGTTTCCTATGTGGTCTGTGCAAAGTTGTTATAAGAAAGAGTTCAGTAAAGTGAGTCGAGTTTCCAGACGCCAACATGCCGGGACATGAGCTTGTGAGTAGACGGATTGAACAGAGTCGGGTTTTCGCAACTGGCAGCTGCAGAACAGCGCAAGAAAGGAATTAGTCTATGAAAAGAAGACTTCATGTGTGATTTGAAATGACAGTGAGATTGTTATAAATCCGTTGCCAGGATACGACTAGTGAAGACTGAAAATCCTAGTGCGTCTGTAAGGGTGAACTGTAAAATGTGAGCAGCGATAGCGCTGTATTGCTGGTAGTCCCAAGTTATGAATATATAAGGTGTCAATAAATGTAATCATCCAATCCAAAAACCNTGCGACTGTACTTTATATACCAATTATATATATATATATATATATATATATATATAATTACTCACTGTCTTCATGAAACAAATAGCGTACCGTACTGAGTATTGTTTTGAGTACAGGTCGATGACATGTATGATGAACCATACTAAAGAAGACATGTGACTCCAACTGTGGTGACCAATAAAGAGTGCTGTCTTCTTGGCTGTGAGACCGTTTAGTCTGGTTGAAGTTCGGTGACAGTCTACTTTCACCAGTCTTTACTTGGTAACAGTTCTCCACAATGGCTATTCCCTTGCAGTGTTTACATTACACGTTTCCTGGTAACGAATCTTAGCAATGGAAATTCTTCCACTGGTGAACACTCCACAATTCAACCCTCAACTGCACTCTAGCGCCAAACGTCTGCAAGATAACTCCTCGGCAGGGACCGCGCAGAAAACACAGCCTCTATTTTTGACGATGTGTGTTTACCTCGCCGTTGCATAGCACTGGCAGTTACCCGATTGCTGTTCGCGTATTTGTTGCCGCGGGAATGTGTTTACCCAGTCTTCGTCTATTCTGCCTTCGTTATTCAGGCTTTCGGGCGTCATAGGAAAATATCGTTGAAATCGGGCGCTCACTTGGAGTGACTGAGTGAACACAATAACATTACACAGAATGGACGTAACATACTTGAGACTTCACTTGGACCAAAAATTAACACGGCAAAAACATACTGAAACCAAACGTCAAAAAATGAACATGAAACTCCGTGAAATGTTATGGCTCATGAACCGTAAATCAAAATTATCCTTAAAGAACAAGCTGATACTGTACAAATGCATAATTAAACCTATATGGACATATGGAGTTCAACTGTGGGGCTGTGCAAAGCCATCAAATACACAAATCATCCAAAGGCTACAGTCCAGAGTTCTACGAACAATCACCAATGCACCCTGGTACGTCTCCAATCGGACGCTCCACAACGACCTGCAAGTCCCATATGTAACAGACGAGATACGAAGATTAGCTCTACTCTACAAACAACGACTACAAGGACATGACAACAGATTAATTGAAGAAATAAGAAACCCTCCCAACGTTGTACGGATACTGAAGAGACAGTGGTCATCCGACCTTCCGAACAGACAAAATTAGGTTAAGCAATAAATTCTAGCATCAATTGTGTTTAAGAGCATTGACGCTGGTTGATTCTCTACTCACGTTCCTACTTTTAACCAATTTACTTATTGCTCCTTACTGTAGTGAGTAGATTGTAAATTCGCAGAGAACTGAAAAAAAAATGGATGTAACGTTCGAAACCAGAAACGGCAGGAAAGTTCGGACTTGTAAGAAAAGGGTTTCCGATAAGATAATCCTGAACAATTTCTTGCATTTCAATAGTGTTTGTACTCACCTATGACGGTAAGGTTGTAGCGGAAACTGCGTGTCGGAGTGTTCCGGAAGTCGACTCTGCAGCGGTACACACCCTCGTCGTGTAGCCGGATGTCCTCTACAACAAGCTGCGCAGGCTCGGACAGTGTGCGGAAGAAAGCCCTCGAGCCGAATACCTCGGGTGCAGACCAGTGTCGTGCTTGGCTCAGCGGTTTGCCTCGGACGTCGAAACTGCAGACAGATCGAAAGACGTACTTCATTTGCAGCGTCTACAAAATACATGTAAATACAGGCATACCTCGCCTTATTGCGCTTCGCAGATATTGTGCTTTTCTTTTAGAAATTGAAGGTTTGTGGCAACTCGGCGTCGAGCAAGTCCATCGGCGACATTTTTCCAACAGCATGTGCTCACTTCGTGTCTCTGTGTCACATTTTGGTAACTCTCCCAATATTTCAAATTTTTTCATTATTATTATAACAGTTATGGTGATCAGTGATCTTTGATGTTATTACTGTAATTGTTTCGGGGCGCCACGAAGAGCGCCCATATAGGACGGCGAACTTAAGCCGATAAAAGTTGTGTTTTCTGACTGCTCCACAAACAGGCCATTCCCGTCTCTCTCTCTCTCTCTTCGGGTCACCATATTCCCTGAGGCTCAACAATAATTGAATTAGGACAATTAATAACCCTACAATAGCCTCTTAAGTGTTCAAGTGAAAGGAAGATGGGTAGTGTTTTTAGCAATAAAGTAGTATTAATTAAGGTATCTACATTTAGCGTAGTTGGTTGAGGGGCTATGCTACAAGCAGGAAGGCCGCGGGTTCAAGTCCCGATGAGGTCACTGGATTTTTTCAATTTACCTAATCCTTCCGTCGGCACTATGGCCCTAGGGTCGACTCAGCCTCTAACAGAGCTAAGTACCAGGAATTAATTAAATAATTTTCCTGGGGAGTAAAGCGCGGCCGGCGCGTAAGGCTGACAACCTTACCGCCATCTTTGAGCCGATTGTCTAGATAATGTCGAACCCTTAAGGTTTCACAACCCTATGGGCCTTCATGGCATGTTACAGGGATAGCTTTACTTTTTTTTACATTGTTTCTTTAGACGTAATGCTACTGCACACTTACCATGCTACAGAATAGTGTAAACATAACTTTTATATGCACTGGGAAACCAAAAACATCGTGTCATTCGCTTGACTGTGGTGATCTGGAACCGAGCCTGCAATATCTCTGAGGCATGCCTGTACATGAGAGGCCGAATGTAGGACGTGCTAAACGCCTAGCTCACATCATGCCGAGGGGTCGTGTGCCGCGAAAATGCGAGTATTTTGTTCCCAGCCTTCATGCAAAACGGAAGCAAATATGCTACCGTCTGTGGGCAACGTTTGCGTTTTGCTTTTATGCCGTCTATGTGCAATGTCGGCTAATATTCTTTCGTCTTCTTTCACGTCACTGCATGTTTCGGCATTACCGGCCATCGTCACGTGTACAGGAATCTGCTGCCCTCTGTAATGTGGTTTCCTTGGATTCTAGGTTTTGTGGGTTAACCAGCTGTTTTCTTTGTGTGTTTCTGAACTCTATGTGTTTGCCTTATCTGTAATATGTGATGTGTTATGTTAGAGCTTTATTTTAAGTTACGTTTGTATATTCAGTTACTGTGTGTACGATGTTTCTTATGGGTTTGTTTGTTTGTCTGTTGTCTGTGGCTGCCTTCAACGTTCCTGTTCTGGTGGGAGTTTATTGTATGTCGGTCAGCCATAGTGTTTTTCTGACGTCGGTTGTGTTGCTACCTAGGGTGCAGGATGTGATATTTGCTGCTATCTGTTATTTGTTTCTCTAAATGCTTTGAAAGCCGGTCACAGTAGCCGAGCGGTCTAAGGCATGTACTGTCTTCGCTCGCTTGGAAACCGGGATCGTGGGTTCGAATCCCATTCAAGGCATGGATGTTTAGTTTCTGTATGTGCGTTTTTCTGTGTTCGTGTACAGGTAGAGGCCTTGCGACGAGCTGATCACCCGCCCAAGGAGTCCTACCGAATGTGTAAGATCTAGAAAAACCGAAGTGAACGGAGAAGTTCATGGAGGTAGGCCTAGGCCCACTGGGGGTATAGTGCAAAGAAAAAAAAATGCTTTGAATATGTGTTGCGTGTGTCGGTGTTTGTGTCATTCATCCGCAAGTTATTTTTGCTGATCATGTACGGGTATATGTGGTATGTTTCCAGTGTGGTAAGTGTTTTCTGTATGTTCTTATGAGGTCCATAGCATCTATTATGTTTCCACATTCATGTCCTGTATTTAATATGTGGTTTAAGTGTCTTGAGTCGCTTTTCTGAATGGAAGGGGTGAACATATTTGAAGCCATCGGAAAGAGAAATCGCCATATTTTACGCAAACGGTCCACGTTTCGCAACTCCCTCCACAGAAAGGCAGTAAATGTGAATATTCAGAGGAAACATATGGCAAATGTTCATGCATATATTGCGACAAATACATGTATTTGTTCTTTCAAGTTTTATTTATATTGCATAACAAGACAATTCTCGTAATTACTTCATTATCATGTATATTGCATAAAATATTGTGTATTCTTATACTGAGTTCCCACGCTGAAGCAAAAGTGGCTAGGGTGCCCGTGTTTGCACTACAGGGGAGGCTCTGCAAGGAGACGATACTAAACGGTGCCCGAGAAGGGTGTAGAGTTTAGCTGAGATCCGAACAATGGCTGCGAGTGAGTAAGGGAACTTGTGTCACCCGCTGTGCAAAACCATTAAATAATCTTCTAGAACCCGACAGCGGTAGCAGAGTTGGCGTCTTCCTCTTCCTGTTGCCAGACGCTAGTCCTAACATGTCTTGAGACGGTTTCTCTCTATTGTAAGTAGCCTACCAATCACAGCGTTGCATCTGATTAATTAATGCATGGCATAAAGCTCTAGTGTCTGAGGCCTCACCTATCTATCTATCACTGCTAAAATGGCTTATACTTTGTCCAAATAAAATCGAGGTTTCTCTTCGGATATGTACAGGAAAACACTCCTCCAATGGATGCACGGTTTCCAGGTAAGCACAATAAAAGTTCAACGAGATTCTTCATGCTGCCATGTGACACAACATTTGCTTTCAAATACACAGACACACACACTGAACTCTGAGGATATCAGATTAATTACGTTGTCAAAATGTCTCATTATCTGAATGAAGGCAACTGAACTTGGACAAATCCTCACTGTGCTTATTAGATGCCTCTATAAATAAGATAAAGTAGCACCATAAAATTTTGTAATGTTCTCAAATATCTCTGTATAGTCATTTTCAACATCTTGCACTAGACCAGTTAATAACTTCTTCAGAATGTTCGGGATAAAGTGTCCTACACGTCGTGTTTGCAGTTTCAACATCAGAGTTCACAGCTAGTATTGATTCTGTTGCGCAACTGACATGTCCTCCAATAACTCCAATTGTTTCAAGAAAAAGTGAAGTTTTGGAATGAAGAAAGCTTCGCCACTGCTCTATCTCATTGTTTTCACAGAGTTCTTTCAATAGTTAGGGCACTGTGTTCTTGATATAAAAAGACTTCAATGAAGGGTAACGTTTTGTGCCCTTTCCAAGGCTGGAATTAATGAATCTCATATTTATATAACCTAGTACTTGTTTATATATTGTCCGACAAAGTCAGAGAAATATTTTGGCCATACTAAACGAAACTTGTATGTGATTATAAATAAGATTTTTGTAACAAGTACTTAGATATCTACAGGCAGGACTCAAAAGCTGTTTAGCGCAGTTATAAATAACATGCATATTGTAGCTAAAACCAATTATGTTTCACTCTAACTGATATTTAATTTTGATTAAAACATTTTCTTTAGCCTTCGGATTTGCTATTGGTATTTTATGCTGATAACCATAACATCTTCGTCTCTAAATCATAATTAGCTATTGCTTTCATGGCATGTTCCTTACATAACAGATGTCGAGACCAAAGCCGCCTACATGGTGCGCTCTATTCAGTCCGAGTGGACGTTATAAGAGCCCAGCTTCAACGATACCAGTCAGTTCTTAGTGTAGCTTCGACTAGAGCAGAAGGAAGCTCGCATCCGACAAAGGGATCAAGACACTTCACCAAGATCAGCGGTGCAAGTGATTATAACATTGAGGAAGAAACGTCTAAAGGACGTTATAAGTTGATAATTGTAAGTGTGAGTGCAAAAGTGATTGCGCGATACATATTCGTTCAAAATCCGAGAACCTACACAATTTCTTGACGCATTGCTTAGCAAACACTCGACAATACTCGTATTATACCTGTAGTTTCCACCAAAGTTTCCACAAACGTAGGGAATTTGTTCGTAATTGGGGATTTCTAAACCGTACGCCTGAAAATAACGTACGGAAACTGGAAGTTGCTTTACGTGTTCATGGTTAGAAGTGTCACAAGCCACCACAAAGAAAGTTTATACATTTGAGATCACTTTTCAGTTCTTCAAGAACCTAAGAAACACAGACGTCCGTAACGATTCATTTGGAGTTTCTTCTTGTACAGGACAATTTCCTCTCCGCAAATTTCTTCTGTAGACTTGCTATATGATCACGCTGTGCAGTACGTACCTTCATAAAGAGACAAGTTGTATTTGGCTTTTTAGGGCTCCAGTTTACAACAGTTTGTCATACAACCAGACAGAGATTTTGCAATTTGTGTTTCTTTGTCTGGAGATAATCTGTTATCGAAGTCCTCCCATAACTCAGTATCGAAGAAATCGAGGTACACATGATAAACTTTAGTACAGTATATCTTCTAAGTTAACCTGTTGTTTAAATGGAAATTCAACTTTCTATGAGTCACAGAAGTTGCGCTTTCGCTTCTCCGAAAAACTGCTTTATCGCAGGGGAAGGCGGAAGTTCCACGGTCGCTGCACTAACTCACCCACACAGATTTCACAATTCACTATTTAATGTAAAGAAGTTCACTGAAGTTCTCAACAATTTCAAATTAGCTTAGTTACTTTTCTGGTTATAAGCAGAACAGGTGTGTTACAACACTATGCTTGTAATATTATATTTGAACATCCTGTTCAGTTGATGCATCACTCACTCGTTCACCTCCGTCTTTAATGCAACTTAAAACTGTTCAAAATCTCTCTTCACTTTAAAATAACGTTAAAATTACACCAACTGCTACATGTTTCGGCCTCACTTAGCCATTCTGCAGGCAATTGTTCACTTTTTGAAACTGT